TATCAATAAAACCTGCTGAGTTCATTTCTGTTGGTTGTGTTTATATGGTTTCAGGGCTGAACACATTGCATTGGATATGCAATTAGGGAGCTCATCCCTGCCTGAGGCTAATTCTCCCACTTGTAGGAGAATTTCAGTCTTTAATGAGCAACAGGAGTCTGACCCAGAAGTGACCTAGGCTGCCTTGGACAGGAAACATTATCAAGAATAGAAAACTTGGGGTGATAAATATCTCAGCTAACACTTTGTAGTATCATGGCCCTAAAGTTCTGGTGCTGTAGGGAAGACTATGGACATTGTCCTGAGCCAACCACAGTTTCCCTTGGTGCTGTGGTCCTTCCACCATAGCCCATTGACCATTCTCACCTCATATGGCTTTGAAATCCTGAAATTTCTGCCTCTATTTTCTAAGTAGCATGATTACAGGCTTGTATCACCATGCCTGGCTTAGGTGGCTTCACCTTCTTTCAGTGATTCATTAGAAAGATGGTATAAGTAAGATGAACAGTTACACTTAACAATATTGAAAAATAACTTATCTTTGTGACCCTGGGTTTCATCATAGATAGAATAAGGGCAGAACTCTGATCTAGTCCCTTGATGAGTTGTAATAGACTCAATGATAAAGGAAAACAATGTTGCTCATATTTGAAAGACAGTGGACTTTAAGGTAGGAGGGCTGTATTTGATGGGAGCCTCTGTTGCTGGAGTTAGGACAAGAGCCTGTGTCCTGGCTACCCTAACCAACCAGCCATAGCAACTCATCTTTATTTAACTCACTCATCCCATTTGAAAAACCAAGTTATGGCAGGAGGTGGTGTCACACACCTTCAATCCCAACACTTGGGAGGCAGAGGTAGGTGGATCTCTGTGAATTCAAGGCCAGCCTTGTCTACAGAGCTAGTTTCAAGAGAGCCAAGGCTACACAAAGAAACCTTGTCTCAAAAAAAAAATCAAGTTAGTTGTTTGTGATGTACCCACCTATAATTCAGGTACAGTGGAGGCAAAGTGGGCAAATCTCTCTGATGTTCTAAAAGAGTCTAGACTATATAGTGAATTCCAGGCCAGCCATATATTCATAGTGACACTAAAAAAATGAAAGAAAAGAAAACAATAGAAAAGAAAAAAAGTAAATTATTAATAAAAAAAAAACTAGAAAAACACGATAATTTTTCAATGTGATTAATTTGGAAGAGGGATGAAGATATAAGGTAACTAATTCATCTTTGGATCCTAAGGATGATTTAGATAGAAGGCAAAAGACATGCAAAACTAAGTAATCTAAGCCAGCTCCTCAGCTCCTCTCTCCCCTGAAAGGTATTCAGATGATGAGTAAATGTTTCTTCAGTAGACACATTCTCATCTGGAAGACTCAGTCTCTTCCCACAATGAGATTTCTACAGAAATTAGAATGTCATTGACTCCACCATTTCACTTGCTGTTATCTAAAGGGAGAGTTATAAATGTCTCATTAGAATACCCTTATTCCTACTAGGAAGGTATGTTTTAGGGATTGACAATAGGGGCTGAGTAGCTTTGAAGTCCAAGTGAGAAATGCAAAGTTGGGGCCTGCATGGAATTGTCACTGATAGCTGCATGTAGTTGCCAAAAGTGGGTAGGGAAGTAGAAGACCTGGAAGGGGATGACCTGCAACAGCTGAGTTAATACAGTGAGCACAGTAGAAGACAGTTTTTCCTCAGGTATACCCTAAGCATTGCTTTGTGGAATTTGATCCTCAGGCTTTCACATCCAAAGCTCCATTCCTAACAACTCCTCCAAACTCCACAGCTCTTTGTAAATGCCTAATTGTCCAAGGCTTAGAGTGACTTAGCCACTTTCATGGTGACCCTTTATTGCTCTGGAATCATAAGCAAAATTAAACTCTTTTGTAAGTTGACTTAGCCATTACGTATTATCATAGCACAAGAGAAGGCACTAATACACATCCATAAAGTCTTTTTTCTTTTGATTCTTTGTGTCTTTCACATCATGAGTTGTAATCATCATTTCTCCATCCCTCTCTGTCTGTCTTCACCCTTTGCAACCTCCCACACAAAATAAAATAAAATTTAAGACAAATAAGAAAAACATCAGTCTTATAATGAAGGCTGTAGTGTGACACAGTGAGTCAGTAAACCCTTCTATTCATAATTTTTTACTTGTTTATTGCAGAGTCATTAGTCTAGTTCAAGGCCTTTGGTTTCCACTACCCTATCAATGGTGGATGCTTGCTGGGACTCCTCTTGGATATCCTGCTGTTGCCCTGTGTCATGGAGATCCTGCAGCTTTGGGTCTGCCAAACTGGCACTTTCATGTGCTCCTACAGATCACAGAAGGAGTGGGCCAACTCATAACTCTGGTTCTGGGCTTGGGTAGTTGCAAGGTTGGTCTTCTGACCAGCTCTCCCTTGTCTTCACCTCCAAGATGAGCTCTCCAGCATGACCTGATTAGTTCACTCCTTGCAGCAATGAGCAAGGGGCAGAGCCAGTTCTCCTGCTTTTATGTCCTCAGGGTGAGCTCTCCCATACGTATAACCATCAGGGCCAACTCTCTTGTGTTGCCCAGGTGAGGTGCAGGGGCCACTCTCCTGAGTGCTACAGCTGATGAGGGGCAGAAGCAGCTCTCCTGCTCTTATGACCTCAGGGCCAGTCCGCCCACCCATCTCAGGCAGAGAAGGGCAGGGGGGAATCAGTCCCCTGCCCATGCCAACATATGGCAGATGAGGGGTGGGCCCAGATCTCCCATGCTCACGTTCTTTGGCCTGCTCACCCCCAGCACCATCAACAGGTTCAGCTCTGCAGTGCTGTCTAGATGAGGTGCAGGGCCTGCTTTCCCAAGTGTTGAACCTGGTAAAGGGAGGGTCAACTCTCTTGCCAGCTAGAAGCAGTAGGGCAAGGACACCTTTCCCTTGCCCACACAACTATACCACAGACAAGGGAGGTGGTACCAGCTATACCCCTCTCATTCCCTCAGGGCTGGCTCGCCTTCGAACTTGTTTACAGGATCTTCTCTACTGTGGTGTCCAGGTGGGAATACAGGGCTCATTCTCCTTAGTTTTGCAGCTGGTGAGGGTTTGAATCAGGTCCCCTACCTGCTGCAAGTGTCAAGGGGTGACAAGAGGTATCTTTCCCTCACCAAATGGCAGGAGTAACCTGCTCTCCCAACCTCACATCCTTAGTTCCAGCTTGCCTTTGCTCCTGAAAACAGGATCAGCTTCATTGTGCTACCCAGGTGAGGTGTACGACCCTCTTTCCTGAGTGCTTCAGCCAGTAAAAGGCAGGATCAGTTATCCCTAGTGTTGTAGCCAGTGAGGGGGCAGGACCAACTCTGTACAGCCCTATCTTCTCAGTGTTCAGTGGTATCAGGAAGCTTGGACATCAAAACAGACCGCAGCTGCATTGGGGCCATGAAACCAGACATGGGTTCTGGCAGCAGCCCAGGCCCAGACATCACCATAGTCCTGGGTAGCAATCAATCCACCTACATCAGGCTGCCTGTCACCTCTTTCAGATATACTTCTGTCCATAGGACATGAACCATTCTGGCTCTCTCCCATACCACACCACACATTTGCTCACCACAATAGTGCCTATTTGCCTGGTGCTGCATGCAGGTTTCTGTGGGGCGTTTACCCACCAACCCCACAGCTCCCCAGAGTTTTCTTAAGTGTGAGCAGCAGGAAATATTAGATAGAAGGATTTATTGTGGAGAATATTGCGGAGATAAACAGATAGAAAATAAAGGATAGCCTCGAGAGGGCCTGGAACCTTTTCCAACGGCCCCGACTGTCTCTGCCCCAGGGTTTTTATAGAGATGCCAAGGGGTGGAGCAAAAGACCTCCTCCCCCAGCACAGCCAAGTGCAGACCATCTCAGACACCTGCACTCAGGCCTGTGGTCCTGATCATCCTCTATGTGGACCTGCTGGGTAAAGCCACGAGGAACCCGAGAATGGGCTCCTACAGGTCTCCTTGTCCCACTCAGTCTGTTGTGGTGCTGGGAAGGTCCCTGCTTCCAAAAATTAAGATGGTGACTGAATGCCCAGTGCCAGAGGACCACCAGGTCTAGAAACAGTGGGTGGCTCATGGGTGAGATCCTTCCCACCCCAAGTGTAGTGACCAGAAGCAGAGCAGTGTTTGTCCTCTGGGTTTGGCAGGTCTAGTAATGACAGGTAGCTTAAAGGTGAGATTCCTCCTTCCCCAAGTCCAGTGACCTGGGGCAGAGCTGTGTTTGCCCTCTGGGGTCCACCATGCCTAGAAATGGCAAGCACATCCATAGTTATACACCTGGATTGTTATTTTATGTAATTGAAGAGAAGTATGAAATCCAAAAGCATTACCTTATTGCTTAAATTCATAGGGCTTTTGTCCATATGCATTTGCAGGTGCAAACAAAATAAAGAGGGACATCATAATGCTTGAATGCTGATATTGTCAGATTCTTTTCTACAGAATAATCTTGTGTAACTGAATTTAAATGTATTGGCTAAAGATATTACCAAATCCTTTACAATCAGATTCCCTTTGGTATGAGTTTGTTCAAGTCCTCAAAGACACACTGTGATACACAAAGGCTTGAAAAGACCAGTTTCACACTTAAAGTTTTATGCTTACATAAAGACTACCATGAATTGTAAAACTTTTTTGCACTGACTACATTTATAGGGTTTCTCAGCACTGTGATTTTTTTCTAATGATTTCAGAGACTACTAACATACACAAAGCTTTTTCACATTGATTATATTTGTAGGGTTTCTCTCCAATGTGTTCATTTTTGTATTTGAAGATTAGAGTGATGTGCAAAGACTTTATTGCATTCATTACATTGGTAGAGTTTCTCTCCAGTATGGGTTTCTTTACATATTTGAAGATAAATGTGACTTTCAAAGGCTTTAACACATTGATTACATTCATAGGGTTTCTCTCCAGTGTGCATTCTTTTATATATTTGAAGATGACTATGATTTTCAAAGAAAAGTGTGACTTTCAAAGGCTTTACCACATTAATTACATTCATAGAGCTTCTCTCCAGTATGTGATCTTTTATATATCTGAAGATGGTTATGACATGTAAAGGTTTTATCACATTGATTTCACTCATAGGGTTTCTCACCAGTATGTGTTCTTTTATGTATTTGAAGATTGCAGTCACGTGCGAAGGCTTTACCACTTTGATTACATTCATAAGGTTTCTCTCCAGTATGTGTTCTTTTATGTATTCGGAGACCACTATGACATGTAAAGGCTTTAGAACATTGATTACATTCATAGGGTTTCTCTCCAGTATGTATTCTTTCATGTATTCGGAGATTACTGTGCTGTGAAAAGGTTTTATCACATTGATAACATTTATAGGGTTTCTCTCCAGTATGTGTCATTTTATGTATTTGAAGATGCGTGTGATGTGCAAAGGCTTTTCCACATTCATTGCATTCATAGGGTTTCTCTCCAGTATGTGTTCTTTTATGTGTTTGGAGATTGCTGTGTTGTGAAAAGGCTTTACCACACTGCTTACATTCATAGGGTCTCTCTCCTGTATGTGTTCTTTTATGTATTCGGAGAATAATGTGTTGTGAAAAGGCTTTATCACATTGATTACATTTGTAAGGTTTCTCTCCAGTATGTGTTCTCTTATGTGTTTGTAGATGACTGTATTGTGAAAAGGCTTTACCACATTCATTGCATTTATAGGGTTTCTCTCCAGTATGCATTCTTTTATGTATTTGGAGAATAAGGTCTTGTGAAAAGGCTTTATCACATTGATTACATCTGTAGGGTTTCTCTCCAGTATGTGTTCTCTCATGTATTTGTAGACTACTGTGTTGTGAAAATGCTTTATCACATTCATTACATTTGTAGGGTTTCTCTCCTGTATGTGTTCTTTTATGTATTTGAAGATGACTATGATATGCAAATGTTTTACCACATTGATTACATCCATAAGGTTTCTCTCCAGTATGTGTTCTTTTACATATTTGAAGATGACTGTAACATTCAAAGTCTTTACCACACTCATTATATTTGGATGGTTTCTCCCTAATATGGGTTTTTTTATGTATTCTGAGATTACTGTGACATACAGAGGCTTCAATATATTGAATACAACCATAGGGATCATCTCTAGTAGGAATTCTTTCTTGTCTTTGAAGATGGTCGTGATATGCAAAGGCTTTAACACAATGAGAATATTCAGAAGGTTTCTCCTCAGTATGACTTCTTTCATACCTGCAAGGATAATTGATACGTGTAAAACTTTTACCACATTCGTTATATTAAATATTTACATCTGTATGAATTAATTTTATAATTTGGCCTAATTGTAAAGAGGAATCAAATCTTAAGGCTTTGCCACTTTGTTTACACTCATGGTGTTCCCCTTCATTAAGGTTCTTTTGCATCTTTGAAGATACCTGTGATGGTAAGAGCCATTATTACATGGCTCACAGTTATATTATCTATTTTCTGTATGAGATTTTTCATATATTTGAAGAGAACTAGAAGAACTAAGAGTTTACCACACATATTAGATTGTTAAATTTTCCTAAAGTGTGAGTCATACTATATTTGCAAAGTGGAACCTGACAAACAGAAGTTCTCACACAGTCCAATACTTATAGGGCTTTTCAGCAGTGTCAGTTTATTGATGTATTCCCTATGAAGTTGGAAAACCAATTAAGTGTAAACTTGTATCACATTCTACAGGTCTACTCAAAGTGGGGACTAGTACATATCTTTTCATTGTTCTTAGAATGAAAGAGGTATGCTGCTCATTTTCATATTTCACATGGCTCACATGGCTTGCATCCAGAGTGACATATGCTACACCCACTAAAGGAAGACTAACAAATAAAAGGTTTCCACATTGCCTTCACACAGTCTGACTTTCTGTTCCTCAAAGACATGTGATATAGGAATTAAGGTTTCTCAAAAACAACCTTCTTGACTCACATAAACTGCCCCCTCACTAAACTTAGCAAGGTCACTACAAGTATAGGAGTAACACCAGCTTTACTCTGGACTATTTGCTTATTAGAAGATTTTGGACATATGCTTATCACCTATTCAATTGTGTATACATTTGCAATATCTGAATGGTATGTAACTAAATGGATTGGAAGTTCTATAGTATAGGTCTCATGGGGCTATGATTCAAATGGTAATACTACTTAAGTCATTGTGTCCTTGTCTTTTTTCTTATATGAATGCCTTGCAACCACAGATCAGCTAGCTGACATTGAGGTATGTAGTTTTGTGAGACTTTCATAATCACCAATACAGTTTAAGCTGTGTTTATTTACAGTTTCCTTCCTTTAACACTTCTGGGACACATTATAATTTCTTCAGAGGTACATTTGTACCAGCTTGAACATAAAAATTACCTTCCATGTATTCTAGAACTTCCACAATGTTCTTCAATATTATGGTCTTCACAACTGTAGCCTAAAATATAGTAGCAGAAAATGTATGATATATTATTGGAAACTGTGTGAAATTTAACTTAATATCTTCACTCTACCTTAGAACCATGCCTGATTTCTTCACCTCATTTTTCCTCTTTCTAAATAAAAATTATAGAAGAGTATAAATAACCAAAAACAGTTATCCCATTATTTTAAATTGTGAAGGAAAATTCAGTCTTACCTATATCTGTGAGGTTCCTATAGATCTCCAGCATCACATCTTTGTAGAGACTCTTCTGGGAAGGATCCAGCAAAGCCCACTCTTCCCAAGTGAAGTCAACATGCACATCATCATAGGTCACTCCATTCTAAAATATCCCACACATGTGAACAAAAGAAAATGTGATACTGGCAGCAGTGTAAATGAATATCTCTTTGTCAGTGTAGTTATATAATTCTGATGCTTTCCACACTTATTCCATTACACAGAAGTTCTAATATAATCACCAAGTCACTTTAGAAGGAAACTGAATAGGAAGTTCACCTCTGTCATTTCTGCAACCATTGAAAATGATATAGCTGCTAGGCCCTGGGGCACAACCTGTGCCCTGGAACCCCCACCCATTGCTACTCCAGTTGCTGCCCAGCAGGGAAGACTCCGATGGGCAGGCTTCCCCACCAATACCCCCATCAGATCTTGCAATCTACAAGACCCACTCCTTACTTCAAACCCACCCATCATCCTGCAACCGCAGTAGCTTCCTGAGATACAGAATCCACCAGCTCTGATTGAACCAAGAGATGAGTGACTCTTCTCCTACCCAGAAAGTCCTGCCTCCAGGACCAAGGCTTTGGGGCACAACCTGTGCACCCTACTCCCATCCACCACTGTCCCTGTTGAAGAAGAGCAGGAAAGACTCTTGCAAAAAGGCTTCCCCACCAACACCCCCCAATCGGATCCTGCAATTTGCAAGACCCACTCCCTACCCCAAACCTACCCATCTCCCTGTGACCTCAGCATCTTCCTGAGACACAGAATCCAACAGCTCTGATTGGACCAAGAGCAGCTCCCTAAGACACAGACACCTCTTGCACCTATTGAAGGAAGAGATTGGTAGACACCAGTGCAAAAATGCATACAATAACATAAAGAGCAATATGGCACCATGAGAACCTAGCATTTCTACAACAGCAAAACCTAAACATCACAACATAGAAGAAGCAGAAGAAAGTGCCCCTTAAAAAATTTATGATGATAATAGAGGTCTTTAAAGAGGAAATGAAAAAATCCCTTAAATAAATTAAGGAAAAGACAAACAAAAAATTGGGAAAAAAAATCAACAAATCTCTTGAAGAAAGTCAAGAAAAAGCAATTAAATGGGTGAAGGAAACAGTTCAAGACCTGAAAATTGAAAGAGAAACAATGAAGAAGACACAAAGCAAGGGAATGCCGGAAATAGAAAATCTGAGTAAATGAACAGGAACTACAGATGCAAGCATAACCAACAGAATACAAGAGATGGAAGAGAAAATCTCTGGCATGGAGGATACAATAGAGGAAATAGATTTGTCAGTCAAAGAAAACACTAAAGCCAAAAAGCCATAACACAAAATATCCAGGAAATCTGGGACACCATGAAAAGGCCCAACCAAAGAATAATAGGGATAGAAGAAAGGAGAATACCAACTCAATGGCACAGAAAATATGTTCAACAAAATCATAGAAGAAAACTTTCCCAACTTAAAGAAGAAAATACCTATAAAGATACAAAAAGCTTACAGAACACCAAATAGACTAGACCCTCCCCCCCACACACACACACACACAAAGTCCCCTCCTGACATAATTAAACCACTAAACATACAGAATAAAGAAAGTATATTAAGAGCAGCAAAAGAAAAAGGCCAAGTGACTTATAAAGGCAGACCCATCAGAATAACACCTGACTTCTTAAAGGAGACTAAAAGCCAGAAGGTCCTGGACAGACTTAATGCAGATAATAAGAGACCACAGATGCCACCCCGACTACCATAGCCAACAAAATTTTCAACCACCATAGATGAACATGACATAAATGAACATGAAGTGAACAAGACATTCCAAGACAAAATCAGATTTAAATAATACCTATCCACAAATCTAGCCCTACAGAAAGCACTAGAAGGAAAACTCCAACCTAAGATGTACCCATGAAAACATAGGCAATAGGTAATTGCATGGTAGCAAATCTGAAAGAAGGGAAATACATATACTACCATAAAAAAACAAAACAAAACAGGAATTAACAATCATTGGTCATTAACATCCCTTAATATCAATGGACTCAATTCACCAATAAAAAGAAAAAGGATAACAGAATGGATACAAAAAGAGGATCCATCCTTCTGCTGCATACAAGAAACACACCTTAACTTAAAAGACAGACATTAGCTCAGAGTAAAAAAGTGGGGAAAAGACTTTTCAATCAAGTGGACTTAATAACCAAGCTGGTGTAGCTATACTAATATCTAACAAAATAGACTTCAAACTAAAATCAATCAAAAGAGATCGAGAAGGACATTACATATTCATCACAGGAAAGATCCACCAAGATGAAGTTTCAATTCTGAACATTTCTGCCCCAAATACGAGAGCATGTGTAAAAGAAACATTACTAAAGCATAAGTCACACATCAAACCCCACACACTAATAGTGGGAGACTTCAACACCCCACTCTCACCACTGGACAGGTCTGTCAGACAGAAACTTAAAGAGAAATAAAGGATGTAACCATTCACCGCTCACCCAAAAGAGGCATCTATTAGACTGTGGGAACCAAGAGAATGGTCACAGCATTTGGCCAACAAATGGCTTACTGATGGCTCATGAACCACTGATGGAACCAAAACCAAATGGAAAGCAGCAGCTTATAGACCAGGGGAAGGAATGGCTAGTACTGAGGAAGGAATCACCAAATCAGCACAACATGCTGAAGTAATAACAGCACTGATAACTGTAAGACAAACAGCTCAGGAAAGCAAAAGGAAAATCTGTATCCTCTCCAATTCATGGTGTGTGTGCAATGGTATAGATATATGATCATCAAAATGGAAAACCACTAACTGGCAGATAAATGACAAAGACATTTGGTCAAGGGAAGCATGGATGGAAATAGCAAAACAGCAAAGACATCAAAATTTATGGAACCCTTGTAAACATACACCCAGGCAAGACAGACAGCACATCTAGAAATAATGAAATAGCAGACAAATTAGCATCCTTTTCAAGTCAGATTAGAATAATAAAACTTCCTAGGGAACAAATTCAGAATAAATTATCAAGGATGATAGATCACACACTTGGTAAACTTGAATGTTTACCCCTAACACTAAAAAATGAGGTGAAATGCAGAACCAAATTAAATCAGGACAAATCTATGAGAATAACTATTAAAAGGAACCCAGATTGGAAAATTAAGAAACCTGAGAATGTTAGCATAATTAGTAAAGAAGAAATCCAAAGATCACATAAAACAATGGGACATTTAGGCTCATTTTGTCCCAATGGTTTAATAAAAGGAACCTTAATTTATCCTGGCAGGTCTGTAAAGAAGTTAATAGAGATTGCCACCTTTGCCCAGCACTTAAAACTAGATTCAGACATGATCTAACAGCTGTAACACGGTCTCCTAAATGCTACAAATAGGTTTCATTGGATTCTTGAATATTCACAGGGGCCTATGTGTCTGCACCCTCGTAGATGAAAGCACAGGACTCAGATTCACTAGAGAAAGTCATGGACCAGACCGGTTGGCAACAAATATACACTCTGGTGTTGGATAGCCATATACAGCTGCCTAATCACTATTGAGCAGATCAAGGAACATATTTTACAGGTTCTAAAGTCCAGAAGTGGTTCCAGGCTATAGACATACAGTGGGTCTTCCATTTGACAAATAAGCCAACTGCAGCTGGCAATATAGAAAGATAGAATGGACTGCTTAAAAATCAAGGTTTTATAACTCAAAGACACCTTGAAAATTATATTGAAGTTTGCATGCTATAAGTTAAATACTAGACAAAGATTGAATAGAGCTTCTTCCATAAAAGACACTTAAGTCAGACTTGGACATAGAATAACAACCAGGTTTTTCCTGACCGTACAGAATAAATCCCCATAAATATGTTTACCAGGACAGAAATCCTTGAGATTTAAAGGAGACAGAAGTCATGGTGTCAGAAGTAGGCAATACAATCTGGACCACAGACAAAAAAGGGAAATGTAAAAATTAGAAAATTGGATGATCTACAAGCATAATGTGTCTCAGGCCTAACCCAATAACTGGGTTTGCACTTTCATAAGGATAATAATAGTCTTAGAATTACTTTACTCAGCTCTGGTGCTAACTAGACATTATACTTCTGCCCAGACAGAGAGGGAAACAGAACATGGCAAGGCGGAGTCATAACAAATTACACCCTATGCCGCATAGAAACTTTAACAAGAAAATGAAAGATAACACAACATGGAACAACACCATAGTATCAATCTGCTGGGCCAAGGAACCCAGGGCACTGTTGTTGGGATTCTTCCTGTTGAATTCTGTACATTTAACCCTTTGCTTCCTAGTTGGGAGTTCCTGCAGTCAAACGTGGGTCACACTCAAACAGTAACTGTTGTTAAAGCAAAAGGAGGCCATGGATTAGAAAACAGTGAAGGGTCCATGAGAGGTATGGGGGCAGGAAAGATAAAGTGAAAATGATATAATTACAACCCTGATAAATATTGTTAAAAATATGAAACAGGCTTTATGGCCATGTGATCCAGAGACTAGGGATTGTATTAGAGCACCAAGCACTACTCATGCCATTTCTCTCAGGCTGTACATCTTGAACCTGGAAAACACAGTCCTGTTAGGCAGGGCCACACCATTTGACCCAGAGCTTCTATTTTGGTTGAACTAGAGTAACTACAGTAATTTGGTTTCATGAAAGTTCAGTTCTTTATCCAGATTCTTGATTTCCTGGTCTGTGAATCCAAGAAATGGCTGGTCAGGACACTCAGTGATCATCTGAGACTGATTATCTCACTACTCACTGCTAATGTCAACTACTGTTAAAGCAGGAAAGTTTTCACCCTCCTTCCTGCCCATCCCTTTATGTGCTGTGACTAAACCTGCTTCACAGTTTGTCAATGAACTCAATTTTTACACAGTTCCTTCTTCATTGTGTTAGTCCCAATAAAAGCCAGAGAATTGGAAAATACTCATTCAT